ACGAACTCTCCCCTCCTGCGCTTGGGAGGTAAAGACCGACTCCCGTTGCAGGCCACATCGATGTGTATTTATTCATTCACTTGCTCCTTTGGAGCGGGAAACATTGGCCGTACAACGAGGCGCTTGGAAAAGAGAGTACGTGAACACATACCGGCCTGGCTAGGCAAAGGTTAGAAGAAATCGATCTCGAGTTCTATTCTCGCACATCTTGTCGATACGAATCACCGGGTCGATGCCAAAGAAGCCTTTCAGATTGTCTACCGGACACCAGCAGGCTTCTCCAAAGGCCTACGCCAACGGGTGCTAGCTACAGCTGAGGCAGTGGCTATACGGCTAGCCAACCCAGTGCTATGCTGTCAGAAGACTCTGACACAGGCGCTCTGTCTTCCGTGGCCGACGCCGACCCCAACGTCGCCCCAACCTCCTGATGCCAGGGTGTGTGCACAAGATACCCGACGTACTCACAGCCTAGGCCCCCCTCTTCCTCGCCCCCTGAACCCAATGACCACAACACGCTGACCACGCCATAGCAAGCCTCGTCATGCGAGTGGCGTGGGAACGATCGATGTTAATTATCTCCGAATCACTTATAAGTCATGTAATTCGCATAACTTAAACTTCATTGTAACCGTTTTGGCCTGATGAAGAGTTACTGAAAACACGTGTTCACCAATTTGAATTTTCAGGAGAAGTGCCAGAAGATGCGGACCAACCTCTACTCTAACTTTGTGGATATGACGAAAGCCCTGGAAACAGTGAATCGTGAAGTACAGTGGAAGATCATGCAGAAATTCGACTGTCCGTAACTATTCATTCAGATTGTGCGTCAGCTGCGCGACGGCATGATGGCGCGATTAACGGACAACGGAGCTGTCTCAGAGGCATTCGCAGTGACCAACGGATTGAAGCAGGGATGCGTGCTGGCGCCCATCCTCTTCAGTCTTATGTTCTCTGCCATGCTGATGGACGCCTAGCGTGATGAACACCCCGGTATCCGCATCGCCTAGAGGACGGACGGTCAACTTCTCAATCAACGGCGGATGCACTTCCAGCCACGCTTTTCCACAGTTGCCGCTGATGAACTTCTCTTCCCCGACGACTGCGCCCCTAATTCCATTTCGCGTGAACGGAACCCACTTGCAAATGGTGAACAATTTAACGTATTTGGGCAGCACCCTCTATTGTGCCACCAAAATCGACGATGAAATGGTCCGCCGGACCTCCAAGGCCAGCCAAGCCTTCGGTCGTCTGCGAAGCACTGTCTGGAATCGCCACGGTCTCCATATCAGCACAAAACTGTGTATGTACAAAGCGGTCATCCTGCCGACACTGCCGTATTCAGCGGAAACCTGGAGGATGAACATGAAGCAGGCACGTAGACTCAACCATGTCCACCTCAGGAGCGGATCCCAGGTATGGTGGTACTGTAGCGGAGGGGAATCCTCAACATAAATAAATAATTTTTATTATAGCATCTATGCTATGCTGAGACAACTACAACCATGCTGGAGGGGCCACCTCGCGCGGATGGACGACTAGCGGCTACCCAAACGTCTCTTCTACGGAGATGTCGTCACGGGTTCCCGCCGACAAGGAGGCCAAGGCCGGCGCTACAAAGAAACTCTGAAGACTTCCCTGAGGCGTTTGAAGATCGACCCGGCCAAATCGCAAGACCCGTCCGAGACCGACCGACCTGGAGGAGAGCAGTAAAGATAGGCGCAACGATCTCTGAAGCCAACCGGATCAGCGCCGCCAAAGCCAGACGCTAGGCCCGCAAATCTCAATTGCGCCCACCTCGCAACGTTAACGCTCAGCCAGCCTCGACCTGCCCACGCTGCCAGCGGAAGTTTCGGGCACCAATCGGACTTGTTGGAATCTTCGTACCAACTGCAGCACACGACCGAAAACGCTCGATGTCCCCCGTCCGCCTCTGATTTGCCCTCCGCGTTAACAATCAAAACTGACCGCAATTCCGAACGCCCGTTGACATCATCCTCCCCCTCCATTTTGTCAACATCCGCTGCGGCTGCTCCTGTACCCACAACCACTTAACACAGTCCTGACGCACCAACAAACACCAATCTCTCCCCCCCAACAACGCCAGCGATGTGGACTCGGTCCATACCTGTCCTCATTGCGACCGCACCTTCACCTCATACATCGGCCTGCTCGATCAACTGCGAATACATCGCACAGATACTGACGAATCAAGGCCTGGAGCACCAAACTGCACTCGCCGCATCCGCCTCCACTGTCCCCGCATATTCACTCACGGCATGGGTACATTCGGTCATATGCGTGTCCACGAGGGCAGAATTGACCGCAGTCTCGAAACACCTAGCACCTCCTGCACATCCACTATGCCTTGCTTAACCTACACACCGCCACCCAGCATACCCACCAGCATCAGATCCACCACACTCAGAACATCTTGCAAATCCACCATGCCTAACCCAACAAACATCCCGTCACCTAGCGCGTCCACCATCAGCAGCTCTACCACTGCCACTATCTCCGAAACCAAAACGGACACTGCCGACATTTCCTGTGCCCACTACCGCCGTACATTCCCCTCACACATCGGCCTGGTCGATCACTTGCGAATCCATTGCAGAGAAACTGGCGAACCTGTGCCTGGAGCACCCACATGCACTCGCCGCATCCGCCACAACAGCCCTCACTGCACCCGCACGTTCACCCACCGCATGGGCCTATTAGGTCAAATGCGCATTCACGAAAACCTGCGGCAGACAAATGCCGGCTAAACCACACAACCACACCTTCCTCCGCCTACATCACGCAACAAAATCATCCGCCACAAGCATCCAACTGCCAACTCCCACGCCAGTAAGAAGTGTGCGTCTCGGCTCAGTCTCCATGTGGTCCCTCTGCTGCATGTGTGATTCGAGTCTGAAACTATCATGGCACCTCAAGCGCTGTGGCTATGAAGGCTACCGGCTAATGCCCCAAATCAATCCACGCAGTCTGCCTAGTTATTCTTGTGTGTGTCCTTTGGAATCTTAACGCCCTGCATATACACCATGCCTTGCTTAACCTACACACCGCCACCCAGCACACCCACCAGCAACAAATCCACGACACTCAGCATATCCTACACATCAACCATGACTAACCCATCACACACCCCGTCAACCAGCGCGTCCACCATCAGCATCTTCACCACTGCCACCATTTCCGAAACCGGAACTGACACTTCCGACTTTTCCTGTCCCCAGTACAGCCGTACATTCATCTCTCGCATCGTCCTGATCGGTCACTTGGGAATCCATTGCACAGAGACTGGTGAACCAATGCCTGGAACATCAAGCTACACCCACCGCACTCGACTCCACTCCCCACACTGTCCTCGCACATTCACGGGTCTCATGGGCCTAGTCGGCCATATTTGCATCCACAAACACCTGCGGCAGACAACTGCCGGCTGCACCACACCATCGTATCCTTCCTAACCACCACCACCACCACCACCACCACCACCACCACCACCACCACCACCACCACCACCACCACCACCACACATCAACGCCCCACCCACCGCAAGCGCCCAACTGCCGTCCCCCACACTAGTCGGAAGTGTGCATCTCGACGCGGTCCCCGTGCGGCTTCGGCTGTACGGACGACTCGAGTCTGAGACTACCCCGACACGTCAAGCGTCGTGGATAGGAAGGCTGCTGATTGACGTCCCCACTAGATCCACGCAGTCCGTCCCGTTGTGTGTGCGTGTTGTTTGGAGCGCCGGGCTGGTGGGCTTGGAGACGGATTGGAACAGCACCTTCCATGGCTCTCCCACGCAAGTGAGAGATCCGCCGTTCAACCCTCGTTAAGCGAAATCCTGGTGTGTTTGTGTGTGTGTGTTTGTGCCTGGGGGGGGAGGGGGGGGAAGGCAGAGCGTGCATGTGGCGTATGCAGACATGGTCAGTCGACCATGCCAGCCACGGTGCCCATTCCCTGCTCCAGCCTGCTGACCTGCTCGGACAGTGGCTGGAGTGTGTGAATGGGAAGGGAGAGTGAGGTTGACGACTCAGCGCACTTTCTCCTCACTATGAACAACCTGACGTGCTTGAAGCTATCACGGTGCGTTAAAAGCGTTTCTTGGAAGGCTGCCAACTGACGGGATAACTTGGATCTCGCAGTCGGCCCAGTGCTCTGCGTTTGTGTGGAGTGGTCAGCTGGATGTCTGAGAGCCAGGCTGCAATGGCTTCTTCTTAATGTGGCCAAGATGGCACTCTCACTGCGTGGGATCGGAGACAGGCGTTGGCTGCACGTCTAGGTGCGGTCTGGCCATGCCAGCCTCCAATCTCTGTTGTGTTGGTCAAAAACTAGGTTATTTGTTGTGTGGACCAGGGGGTGTGGTGGAACGCCAAGGTGATGATCTGTGCAAGCCATCC